GAAGAGCATGGAGACAGTGAGGAGCAGAATGAAGAACATGGAGACAGTGAGGAGCAGAATGAAGAGCATGGAGACAGTGAGGCTCAGGATGAAGAGCATGGAGACAGTGAGGAGCAGAATGAAGATCATGGAGACAGTGAGGTGGTGCACATAAGCAACCCCTGGTGTAAAACAGCCACGCTTGTGCAGTGGACAATGAGGTGTGCCAGCCAGTCCTGAAGTTCGTGGCTCATCCTCAAGTGTGACACGGATATTTTAGAGCTAAACTTCTTGAGAATCTGCAGTACAGCTCTATGCACATTAAGCATTCTCGAAGCCGAAATTCTGGACGAACTCTTCACATCTTCCCTCCCCTCCTCGACCTTTTCTTCCTCTTCCCTTGCCTGCCTTGTCTCTTTTCCCACAGGGTGTCTTTGTGAACCCCTGATTCTCCTGTTGTGGCCTCCACATGCTGGGATGGTAGGCAAGCCTCTACCCCTAGAAAAGAGCAAGCTTCCCCAGAGAAGGGACCCTGCTACAGGCTGGACCTTAAATGGCCTCCAAAGGCTGGTGTTGGAGCCCGGCCTCTGCTGATGGTGCTTGTGTAAGACGGTAAGGCCCAGTCAGAAGTAGGCCCTTCAAAAGGTATCAGGCCCTCCTGGCTCCTCCCTGTTTCTCTTTTGCCTCTACTCGGCCCCGAGGTGAGCAGTTTCCTCCACCACGGGCTCGCCATAAAATACTGCTTCACAGACCCAAAGGCAACAGGACCAAGTGATCAAGGGCTTAGACCTCTGAAATGAGCCATAGTCAACATTTTCTCTACGAAATCATTTATCTCAGTATTTTTCACAGTGGCAGAAGGCTAATTGACATGCATTCTTTGGCCTGTTTTTAGGACATCATAATTCTTTCTTTCTTCCCTTTGTCCTCTTCATCCTCCTCCTCCTCATTGTTGTCATCCTCCTGTGGGCTAAACCTTGGGCCTATGAGCATTCAAGACAAGTGCTCTATCACTGAGGCCTCATTTTACTCTTTGTGTTTTGAGACAAGATCTTGCTTAGTTGTCCAGCCTGGTCTCGAACTCACTCTGTAGACCAATCAGATCTTGAACTGGTAGTCCCCCTACCCCAGCTTCCTAAGTGGCTAGAATTACGAACGTGCGCCATCAAGCCCAGCCAAACGTTCTACAACAGTTCGTGCTGGCTATTGATCAGGGACCCTGGTGGTGCCAAGCGTCTTGGAGCTGCTGCTTGACGATGATGACGGTGCTCGGGTGACTGGGGCTGACCCTTCACTGACCTTGGTGGAATTTGCGGCATAACTCTTCCCTATGTCTTTGACATGTTGAATGTTTGAACCCCTTGCTGTTAAGGGCCCCTCGCTGAAGGCTGGAATTGGGACAATGTAACAATATTTATGAAAGCTGATGTTAAGAATAAAACTTAAGGTAATTCCCTGGGAGAATTAGCTATGCAAGAAACTGAGTCTTCTGTACAACCTAATGCTTAGTGGTGTTAATAAGCATGAGACATAGGGTGTAGAAGAAATCATTTAAGAAGAAAAGCTTAGGGAAATTTTAGAAGCTGACAAACTATAACTGAATCATTAGGTTTTTATGTTTTGCCCCAGAAATATGGAGCTAGTATGGACAAGGAAAATATTTTTGATTATTAAGTTAATATCAAGCCTTGGTAACATCCTGAAGGCAAAGTAAGCAGTTTTAGGAACCTTTTGTTTTGGTTTAGGTTGTGTTTTTTTTTTTGTTTTTGTTTTTGTTTTTGTTTTTTTGAGACAGGGTTTCCCTGTGTAGCCCTGGCTATCCTGGAACTCACTCTGTAGACCAGGCTGGCCTCAAACTCAGAGATCTACCTGCTTCTGCTTCTTTTTTTGTTTTGTTTTGTTTTGTTTTTTTTGGAGTTGAGGGCCGAACCCAGGGCCTTGTGCTTGCTAGGCAAGTGCTCTACCACTGATCTAAATCCCTTTAACGCACACCTTTAATGCTAACCCCTGCTTCTGCTTCTTGAGTGCTGGGATTAAAGTTGTGTGTCACCACTGCGCGGCCAACTTTAGGAATCCTGATGTTCTTTTACTCTTTCCAGGATTGTGATAAAGATAGAGACCATATTGAAACAGGAGTTTATGACAGAAACACAAAGAGAAACATCTTGGCTCAGTGAGCAGCCTTGTCAGACCAGGACCTCTCTAATTGTAGGAAGAATAAAGACCAGAAGACGGTATTTCAGAGGTCAAGGGAAAGGATGGTAGGCTTATGTCAGATAGAAAAGGAAGAATTTGAACAAGGACCAGGGAATTAGATTTCTGCAGAAAGATCAAATATTCCTTACAGTAGACTTATAGAATAACATGTGGTGGGAAATAACTTCTGATCAGTTAACTTAGTCAAACTTAAATAGAGACATCCTGTCTAGCTTTTCTGTAACCACAAGGCTTTACAACACCAATGTTAAGGAAAAGGATAGTGAGTTAAAAAGAATTGATTTTATCATAATGTTTGATTTTAGTTCTCATGAAATTTGCCGTTTGCTTGTTTTGTTTCTTTTACTTGGTAAGCCTATATAATCACAGAAGACTTTATAGAATGTCTGCACCATGAAAAGACTTTGTCAGCAATGATTAAAGTCCGTGAGGAAATGATTTTGTGTATAAATAAAGCCTGTGAGAGATACAGGTTGTCAGAGTAGGACAAGCCACACCGAGATGCGCTTCCTCTCTGTCCGTCTCTCCTAAAATGAAAGTAAGAAGTGTCCCATGTCTGACTCCTCCCTCACTGCTCTTGCATCCACCCATCTTCAGACCCCGTCCTCATCTGGAGCTGGACTCTGCAGGACACCAATTAAAGATGTCTGACAAGGTTTAGCAAACCATTTTAGATAAAAGGTGTAGGAGTGTTTTGCCTGCTTGTATGTCTGTGCACCAAGTGCATGCCTGGTGCCTGTGGAGACTGGAAGAGGGCATTGGATCTCCTGGAACTGGAGTGACAGACGGTTGGGAGCCACCATGTCAGTGCTGAGACTTGAACCCCGGTCCTCTGGAAGTGTAGCACTGTTCTTAACCACCGAACCATCTCTTGAGCTTGGAAAATTACTTTTTTTTTTTTTTTTTGTAAGACCTGGCACAAAGTTTTAGGGTTCTGTCACAGACGATGTGTTTGATGTGGGTTTTGGCTGACATTAGGGGGTGGAAAGAGCTGGAATCTGAGCCCAAAGCCTGTACAGCATCACTCACATGAAGCCAGCAGCAAAGGTATTGGACAACAAGGGTGCTCCCCCGCCGTAGGCAGAGCTTGTTTCTCCCAGCCAGACCTTTTTCCCAGGTCTTATTTCCTTAGTCACCTGGGGAACAAGAAGAGTTCCACAATCACTGCAAACAAGTCAACCACCTCATAGCTGAATGTGAGCATCTCTGCCTCTCCAGACTTGTCTATCCTGTTAGTTACAGATATCTTTAGAATCACTTAGGTCTTGGCCATTATCTCTTATGGGCCTAGTAGGGTATGGAAAGAATATAAATACAGTCTATAACAGTTCATTCTACTGAAAAGCCATTAGAAGTATTTTAATTTCTAATCACCACAACTAAACAAGATCCAACACCAAGGAGGAAACCAAGGAATAAGACACAGTGCTTACCCTTTAAAATCAGAAAAAAATATGGCAATACGTAAATATCCATAGACATCATCAGATTATAAAACAGAGACTGGTGTGGATGAAAAATTTTGTAAGACTATTACCTTTAGAATTTTTCGCACAGAGAAAATAAAAGTGTCCAGCACGTCAGAGCTCAGAAAATCTTCTTTGGTGGCAACGCGTCCATTCAAGTAGTAGCTATTATTCGGAAAGAATTTACAGTTTACTTCCCGCTGTAAAGTCAGTTCTGAACCTTGTTCTTCCTCCTGCTCTTTCTCATTGTGCTGTTTTTAAAAAGGCGGAAGTCCCTCCCGAGAGGAGCTAACGCTGGGAAGACGCCGTTCTATCCGAGTAACTACACATCAGCTATCCCACCTTAAGCAGGGACAGACAAAGCTACAAGCACTCAGCGTTACTTATTCTTTGCCAGCAACTGGTTTTACCTGCTTTTGTGGCTCATGGCTTAGTTGGCCATGTACCTCAACCTTGTAGTAACTGCCACATTGTTTAAAACATTACACTTCCGTTTTGATAACATTAAAATCCTTGTGCAGTAGATGTTCTAGACGCTGCCCGTTTATTACTAGAGCTTTTAAAAGTCAATCAGCAGCCGAGCAAAAATAAGTTCTTGAAAATTGGCAATTAGTATCTCTGTGATTTCAAGGCCAGTCTGGTCTACATAGAGAGTTCAAAGCCAGCCTGGCCTACGTAGAGAGGTCCAGGACTTCCACAGCTTCATAGATTTTGTCTCAAAAAATCAAAACAAAAACAAACAAACATAAAAAAGACAGGGTTTCTCTGTGTAGCCCTGGCTGTCTTGGAACTAGCTCTGTAGACCAGGCTGGCTTCAAACTCAGAGATTCACCTGCCTCTCCCTCCTGAGTGCTGGGATTAAAGGTATGAGCTACTCCCAAACCTCGAGAATATTTTTAAAAATTCTTTCCTTATTTATTTAGAGAAAGTCTCACTAGGTAGTTTTGGCTAGCCTGGAACTCACTGTGTAGACAGGGCTGGCCACAAACTCACAGAGACCCACTACTTCATCTTCTGAGCACCTAGATTAAAGATGTGCACCAGCACACGCAACTGATTTTTAGTTTTTATGTGTAAATGTGTGCTCGCACGAGTTTAGATGCACTATGTGTGTGTAGTGCCCTTAGAGGCTGGAAACGGGTATTGGATCCCGGGGAAATGGAGTTCCAGGCTGTTGTGAGCCCAGCTCCTCTGCAAGAGCAGCAAGTGTTCTAACCACAGAGCCATCCCTCCAGCCCATTAGCTATAACTATATCATGGAGGCATTCGGAAGTTAATAATGGGGATATTAAGTTAATGTGGATACTTACTGATGCCATGTAACTGCGTCAATCACTTCTCCGCCAGTCTTTAGGAAACTAGAAGAAAAGTTCCACAATGGGGTCACCTTACCCTCAAACAAGCATATGCAAATTTTCAGAAGAGCTTCATTCCCTGGAATGACTCACTGTGATGTGAGTCTCAGGCAACAAAAACACCCTAATCATATCCTTGGAATTTTAAGCCAATGTTTCCTCTTTTGGTAAACAATATAACAGTGAACTGTTTAATAATGTAGAGCACAGGGGATTCTCCACCGGAAAGGACCGTTTATCTCCAAGAAAAGTGGTTTTGCTTCTTTGCCAAGAGGGCACCAAAAGCAAAGAAGGTCCTGTCCCTCTCAGAGCTGAAGTCAAAATCAAGGCCACTGGAAGCCAAGAAGGCAGTGCTGACAGGCACCCATAGCCACATAAAGAAGAGGTGCCCATCACCCACCTTCTACAGCCCAAAACCCCACAGTTCCAGAGGCAACCCAAATACCTCTGCAAGAGCATCCCCAGGAGAAACAAGCTGGACCTCTAGGCTATCATTTCATTTTCCCTGACCACTGAGTCAGCCATGGGAAAAATAGAAGTCATCAACTCACTCCAGTTCGTTGTTTATGTCAAGACCAACAAAAGGGAAATCAAACAGGCTGAGAGGAAACTCTAGGACATTGAAATGGCCCCAGGCAATACCCTGGCCAGGCCTAATAGAAGGGCACATTCTCGACTGTCTCCCCAAAGATGCTTTGGATGTTGGGACCATCTAAACTGAGTTCAGAGGGCTAATTTTTAAGTACACATTCTTTTTTCACCATTAAAAAAATAATAATAAGGCACTGGAATGTGGTGGCTCACACCTTTAGTTCCAGCACTCAGGAGGCAGAGGCAGGTGGATCTCTGAGTTCTAAGCCAGCCTGGAATACACAGTGAGTTTGGGAGAGTCAGGGCTACATAAAGAGGCCCTGTCCCAAACAAACAAACAAACAAACAAACAAACAAACAAACAAACAAGGAAGAAGGAGGAGGAGCCAGGGAGAAAGTAGTTGTGCATCCCCCAATTCCTACCTTCTCAGCAGCTTAACTGTCTTCCCTCGCGGCTGACCAATGTCAGGACCATAGAGTTTCGCATTTTTGAAAGCTGACTTTTGTAGAAGCTTATGCAACGCAACAAAATCTTCTCCTAACTGCAGCCCATCGATGAAAATGTGAGCTTTCTTCCAGAAACTGTTGGGCTCTGGAAGACAGCAATTCTCATGTTAACCTCTTACTTAAACATTCTTTAAACACAACCATACAGCAACAAACAGTTTTCAAACTACAAACCTGGAATCAAAAGTCAAGAAAAGCGGGCTGGAGAGATGGCTCAGTGTTTAAGAGCACTGGCTGCTCTTCCAGAGGACCTTGGTTCAATTCCCAGCATCCACATGGCAACTCACAACTCTCTGTAACTCCAGTTCCCGGGAATCCAACACTCTTACATACATGCAGGCAAAACACCAATACACATTAAAAAAAAAAAGAGTCAAGGAAAGTAAGACACCCCCCCATAGTTAATAAAGAAGAGAGTTTAGAATCATAAATATTTTAATTATGGTACAAGGAGGGAGTAAACAAATTGAAGCTAATAATAGAGATGTTAAACCAATGGGCCTTTGGAAAACAGTTTATGGACAGTATTTCAAGCCTGATTTATTTATTTGTCCACAAATAACAAAGGAAAAAGAGGGGCTAGGGGGAAATCTCAATTGGTAGAGTACCGCCATGCAAGCCCGAGGACCCGAGACGGGATCCCCAGATATGGTGGCCCACTTGTGAACCCAGCATTGGAGAGGTAGAGATGGGGTGATCTCTGGGACGTGCTCTCCAGCTAGCCTAGTCTACAAGGTGAGTTCCAGGCCAATGAGGGACCAAGTCTCTCACATACACAAAAAGGTAGAAGGCACCCAAGGAAGGACACGTTAGGGTGTTTTCTGGCCTTTGCGTGTTCATGCATATGACCTCAAGCACACAAGTGCTATGGATATCACTCTGTATAAATAAAATGCTGATTGGCCAGTAGCCAGGCAGGAAGTATAGGTGGAACAAGCAGAGAGGAGAATTCTGGGAAGTGGAAGGCTGAGGCAGAGAGACGCTGCCAGCCGCCACCATGACAAGGAAGATGTAAGGTACTGGTAAGCCACGAGCCATGTGGCAAAGTATAGATGAATAGATATGGGTTAATTTAAGATAGAAGAACTAGATAACAAGAAGCCTGCCACGGCCATACAGTCTGTAAACAATATAAGTCTCTGTGTATTTACTTGGTTGGGTCTGAGCGGCTACAACACTGACAGGTGAGAGAGATTTGTCCTGACCGTGGGCCAGACAGGACCAGGAAAACTCCAGCTACACACAAGCATGTACACACACACACACACACACACACACACACACACACACACACACACTTAAAAAAAAGAAATCAAGAAAGAAATAGAACGGGCAGGGAGGAGAATTTTATGTGCAGAACAGTGCCTGTCCTAAATAAATAGCATGTGCTCATTAAATGACTGCATTTTATTGTTGCACTTCATATTTAGCTATATTGCTTGATGTATGGGAAATTCTTACAAATATATTTTAAATAAATCTGACTAATCATTAGCATATTAGAACTTATAAGTTCCTTGGGACTGGAGAGATGGCTCAACAGTTAAGAATATCAGCTGCTCTTCCATATGACCTGGACCCCCTGGTGGCTCACAACTACCTATAATCTATACTGGAAGCCTCTAGACAGCTTGAGCATACAGCGGAGGCGGCGTGGGGATTGGAGCGAATTTGCTATTTTTGTTGCAATAACGGAAAGCAACTTGTGGAAGAGATAATCTCTTTTGTCTTATGGTTCCAGAGAGGAGCTGAGATGTGAAGATCTCATGGCCAGCTGAGATGTGAAGCTGAGAGATCACATAGAAAGCAAGGAGAGAGGGAGAGAGGGAGAGAGAGAGAAAGAGAGAGAGAGAGAGAGAGAGAGAGAGAGAGAGAGACAGAGAGAGAGACAGAGACAGAGGGAGGGAGAGGGAGAGAGACAGAGAGACAGAGAGACAGAGAGAGAGACAGAGACCGAGACTGAATGTGGGGTGCAGCTATAAACCCTCAGAGCCAGCTCCCTGTGACGTACTTCCTCTAGCAAGACTGCACTACCCTCCACAAACAGTTCTTCCAATAGGGGGCCAAGTTGTACACATGCCTGAGCCAATGGGGGCCATTTCTCATTCAAACCACCACATGGAGGTCACCTGACAAAGAAACTAAGAAACACGGAAAGGGAGGGAAAGGGAGAATCAACTGCCACCCTCACAGTTTCGCTGAGTTCAGTTTGCTAAGCACAGTAAGTTTAAAGTCTGCAAAGCCCAAGGGGAGCTGGGGAGGCTGGGGAGGCTGGGGGCTCCAGCAGTTGTTTTATTTTTTTTAACCTCAAAAACGACACAAGGATGTGCTCCCAAGATGGCGCAGCTGGTAAAGCATTTCTCACTCAACCCTTGTAGAGGTGGAAGGAGAAAACCAATACCACAAAACTGTCCTCTGACCTCTACACGTGTGCACTGTGGCCCATGACCTTCCCCCATCACACACTTAATAACAATACACAATTTTTTTGGGGGGGGCAGTGTTTGAGACAGCATTTCCCTGTGTAACAGTCCTGGCTGTCCTGAAACTGGATTTGTAGACCAAGCTGACCTTGAACTCACAGAGATCCTCCTACCTCTGCCTCCTGAGTGCTGGGATTAAAGGTGTGAGCCACCAGTGCCTGGCTCAACACACAATTTTTTTTCTTAAGGAAACGTAACCACCACCAGCAATACAAAGGTGAGGTTGATGGCTCTATCAGTACAGGGCTTGCTGTGGAAAGCAAAGGGGCCTGAGGTCATATCTCCAGCATCCACACGGAGTGCTTGGCATGTAGTTGCCTATAAGCCCACTGCTGGGGGGCAGCGACAGGCATCCCAGGGCTCAGGGGCCTTCCAGTTAAGGTAATCATTGAATTCTAAGTTCAGTAAGAGACCCTGCCTCAAACAAAGTGGATACTGACAAAGGAAGACACCTGACTGGACGGACACACACACACACACACACACACACACACACACACACACACA